ATAAAGGAGGAATCACCTCTTTTTATGTATGGGGGGGAATAAAGGAGGATCACCTCTTTCTGTATGGGGGGAATAAGGAGGGATCACCTCTTTCTGTATGGGGGAATAAAGGAGGATCACCTCTTTATGTATGGGGGAATAAAGGAGGATCACCTCTTTATGTATGGGGGGAATAAAGGAGGATCACCTCTTTATGTATGGGGGGGAATAAAGGAGGATCACCTCTTTATGTATGGGGGGAATAAAGGAGGATCACCACTTTATGTATGGGGGGGAAAAAGGGGGATCACCTCTTTATGTATGGGGGGGGAATAAAGGAGGATCACCTCTTTATGTATGGGGGGGAAATGAAGGAGGATCACCTCTTTCTGTATGGGGGAATAAAGGAGGATCACCTCTTTCTGTATGGGGGAATAAAGGAGGATCACCTCTTTCTGTATGGGGGAATAAAGGAGGATCACCTCTTTCTGTATGGGGGAATAAAGGAGGATCACCTCTTTCTGTATGGGGGAATAAAGGAGGATCACCTCTTTCTGTATGGGGGAATAAAGGGGATCACCTCTTTCTGTATGGGGGAATAAAGGAGGATCACCTCTTTATGTATGGGGGGAATAAAGGAGGATCACCTCTTTATGTATGGGGGAATAAAGGAGGATCACCTCTTTATGTATGGGGGAAATGAAGGAGGATCAATGTAGGAGGATCACCTCTTTCTGTATGGGGGAATAAAGGAGGATCACCTCTTTCTGTATGGGGGAATAAAGGAGGATCACCTCTTTCTGTATGGGGGAATAAAGGAGGATCACCTCTTTCTGTATGGGGGAATAAAGGAGGATCACCTCTTTATGTATGGGGGGAATAAAGGAGGATCACCTCTTTATGTATGGGGAGAATAAAGGAGGATCACCTCTTTATGTATGGGGAGAATAAAGGAGGATCACCTCTTTATGTATGGGGAGAATAAAGGAGGATCACCTCTTTATGTATGGGGAGAATAAAGGAGGATCACCTCTTTATGTATGGGGAGAATAAAGGAGGATCACCTCTTTCTGTATGGGAGGAATAAAGGAGGATCACCTCTTTCTGTATGGGGGGAATAAAGGAGGATCACCTCTTTCTGTATGGGGGGAATAAAGGAGGATCACCTCTTTCTGTATGGGGGGAATAAAGGAGGATCACCTCTTTCTGTATGGGGAAATAAAGGAGGATCACCTCTTTCTGTATGGGGGGGGGGAATAAAGGAGGATCACCTCTTTCTGTATGGGGGAATAAAGCAAAGAGTAGAATGTGGAATATGTCACATGCTCGTGTGCTGTTGCACGTAGAGTCTAGGCTTACAGACAGAGGGAGGGGCGTTCCGGTGGCATGTCCTACAAGAGGAGGAGGGATGCAGCAGCTCATGAGATGCTAGCAGGGTTGCTGGATCAGTCCATTATCCGTGTCGGAGGAGAGGAGAGAGCACCAAGCCTTACGTAAGCGACATCCTGCCATGCTCTATACCTTTCAATTATTTTCAGCCATATTTCACTACACTGAGATCACATAGCTATACACAGCTTATCCATTTCATATATTTACTTTTTTATTTTATGTGTTTATTTTTAGTATGTTTGTTTTAAAAGATGACTTATTAATTGATAAATGAAAGTGAATTACTGGAAGGCTTACTATAAACTTTTATGTCCAATGTATGTACTTATAATGCAGAGGATATTGAGAGGATTTCAATGCACAGAGATAGAAAGTTGTCAGTCTAGGTAACTCTTTTATGCGAAGTTGGAAATTTTCACAGTGATTTCTGCTGCAAGTGACTCATCCTGGGCAGTGGAACAGTGCTGGGATCATTCTGCCTGTAGTCATATCTGACATGCGGCTGGGTAGACGTGGGTGCTAGTTTTACTTCCAGTTCTTAGTGGGGGTGAGGATTTGTATGTGAATGAAACACTGTACACGTGCGGTGTAGTTTTAATAGGTGCGTGGATATGAGGCATGTGCAGCTTTACAAGGATGGGCAAATATAAGGAAGCCTTCTAAAGGCAATACTGTCCTCTGTGTCTTCTAGTCCAGATGTAATTACATGAGCTGGAGCTTGTGCTGGATTTCCAGTAATAACTGCAGAGTGAATCTCTCCTTGTTTGACCCAAATGGAGGGTGTACCATCCAAGCTCTATGTATTTATGAAGATTTAGGCATTGACTTGTAATGTAGGAATATACATGCCAGTATGAATTGTCTATTATACAGGGTTGTTTGTTAGCTGTTATTAGTGCTGCTCTTGTATTTACATGTTCGGATGGAACTCCAGCCAAAAACTTTTTTAGTTTGTGCTTTGTTTTTTTTTTTTCTTTTTGTGTGTGTTTTTTATGAGGAAGAGTTAGAGCCCCTCATGATTTTTGTTTTCTATCTCTTGTGGATATTTTACCTTACTTTCACACAGGAAAGAGGGGAGAGTTTTCTTACTGGCATCAGAGAAAGCAGTAAGCCCTAAACTGGCCATTTACTAGTTGAAGTTTGTTTGAGATTTTTAGTTTAGAGAAACGTTTGTTTGACTTTTCTAATTATTAAAGCGAAACTAAATCCTCCTTTCCTTTTCAGCCAAGGAAGCTGCCATCTTCTCTTCTGTTTGACCTGCAGTTGCCATGGTGCTGTACATGTGATCAGTTATGACACCAGCTATTTGATGGCTTGACAGTTAGCGTTCCTGCCATTCGTTGGGAATTTATAGCAGCTATACTTTCCTTGGCTCCAGTGATGAAGCATCCCGGGGTTCCCCTCCTGGCTGACTTCTGGGTCTCGATCGCTGGCCGGTGTTGATCGCTAAGCAGGGGTGACATAACACTTATAGTGAGCTGTGCGTGCGTAGCTCGCTGTACAAGGGTGGACAGGCAAGTAAGTCATTTTAATGCAGAAGAGACAAAGCGTGTCTCTTCTGCATTAAAAATTCCTGCCTGTTCACCTTTTTTATTTTTTTTTCCTAAAGTTCCACATTAACTTTTTGTTTTTTAACTGTAAATCAATGGTTTCCATTCTTCTTTAATGGGGTCAATTCAGTGTTTGTTTTGAACCATAGTAATGAGAAAATTCTGAGAAGCTGTGTGTTTTCATTCAGAGAATTACATTCAATTCCAAAATTGAATGTAAAAACCAATCAACATTTTTAAGTGCTTTCAAACAACATTCGTCAAGTTATCTTTTATACTGAGAAATTTCATACAAATTTTTGTTCACAAATCTACTACTGTTTGACCAGCTTTACTCTGTCTGGATAGCTAACAAATAGTCTCTGGCTAGGTTTGACATAAGTGTGAAGCAGAGAAGTGTTAGTATCTGTCCAGGTTTTTATTGCTATTTTGAGGCCTTTTGGGGAAAATGCACCAGACAGGAAGTGAGCAATAAACACCTGAAGGGTGTTCTTGCCATTCCCTGCTCTGCTAAAAAAAAAAAAGGTGGGGGCAGGGTTATTGCTGTGTCCTGTAGGAAGATGTATCCTTTTTTTCTTTGAAATGATGAACATTTTTGACTGAAAATGCTGCAGCACACAGGATGGTAAAATTTAAACCTATTAAATCGGAACTAAACCCTCCTATCCTTAATGCTGGCCATAGACGGGTCGAAAATCGGCTGATTTTTCTGCCGAATAAAAAATCGGCCGATTTTTGCACCGTTAGTGGGTTAATTGGCCGGCCATTTTTTGGGGTTTTGGCACATTTTTTTTTATCCGTAAAGTTGGAAAAAAATCGGCCGATTTTCCCGGCAATGATGGGCAAATCGGCCATCGTTTTACAGATAAAAAATCTGCGCATGAGCCGTGACCTGCAAGAAGAAGAAAAAGAATTCCAGTCCGCTATTATATTTGACATGAAAGTATTGTGGTTGCAACAATGTATCTATTTGTATACGAATAAAACCATCTGTATCCGAAATGGATACAAATGGATAAGTTGTTGCAACCGTAATACTTTTTCATGTCAAATATAATAGCGGAGCTCTCTGCAAGAGAAGAAGTAATTAAATGCCGGCCGTAGACAGGACGAAAATTGGCTGTTTTTTTTTTTTTTTTTTTTTTTTTCTTTTACCGTTGGTAACGTCGGCCTATTGAATGACCTATTTTTCATTTTTTTTTTTTTTTTTTTTTAAAAGGCTGGTTTTCGACCCATCTATGGCCTGCATTACATGCCAAGGAAACTGTTGTCTTGGCCTTTGTTTGATCTGCAACTGCCATGGTGCTGCACATGTGATCAGTTATGACACCAGCCATTTGATGGCTTGACAGCTTGGTTGAGAGCTCGAGTAAATGTGGCAGTTATCATTTCATAGCATGTCTTACGTGTAACTGTTTTGGGAAACTGTTAAATGGGTTTCGTTTTGGTTTTAGGATTATTAGTTGTAAAGTAAATCCTTTGTGTATCAGTTAAATCGGAACTAAACCCTCTTATCCTTTTCAATCAAGGAAGCTGCCATCTTAGCCTCTGTTTGATCTGCAGCTGCCTTGGTGCTACACATGTGATCAGTTATGATGTCATCCATTTGATGGTTTGACAGTTTGAGAGCACAAGCAAATGTGACAGCTTTCCTGGCATGCCGGGAATAGAACTGTTTTTTTAAACCTTTAAATCGATGAATTTTCTTCCAATTTAACACCAAACTATATGAAATACAATATTGGTAAAGGCATTATTATGCTTCTTCAGGTTGAAGAATGGACTCTATAGTGATTGTAATGGCCATGCTAGAAAGAGTGTAGTGTAACACTGTAATGAGAGAGAGAGTGTGTGTGTGTGTGTGTGTATATATATATATATATATATATATATATATATATATTATGTATGTATGCGATTTTCCTGTTATTAGTATAGTTTGTATACACGGCAACAAAGTAGTCCTATTCCAATGTATTTCCTTTTTATAATCTTACACATGTGTATATATTGATTCAGAAGTAGAAGTACTCTCTGGTATTGAAACAGACATCCATTTTATTTTCAATGCAGGTCACCATGTCAAAGTCTCATGTATGCGATGCCGGCAGTGCCTTCATCCAGACACAGCAGCTGCATGCAGCAATGGCGGACACCTTCTTGGAACACATGTGCCGTCTGGACATTGACTCTGAACCCATAGTGGCACGCAACACAGGCATTATCTGCACTATTGGTATGTATGTGTTTGAAATCTCTGGGAATTATGAATGAAAGCCTACTCCCCAGCATTTGATTATGGTAAAAAAAAAAAAAAAGAAAAGGAAAAAAAAAAAAAAAAAGGTCGGGCAACAGTTAAGTCTGTATGCCTTTGTTAAGAAGGTCCCACAGTGCTGACATCATCTGCATCAAGCAAGCCATCAGGACTCCTTTTTAGATGAGATTTTTACTTTCCATGATTGGCAGGTTGTAATTTTATGGGGATGGGGGTAGGATTAAGCTCAATGGATGCAGGGACTGCTGACTCTGCTCTGCTTAAGCAATTACATGTGTTTTCTGAGAGTGCAGTGTAGAATTCTCAATTTGTGTCTGCTGGCACTAAAGACATCAAGTGGGTATATATAGAGCAGCATAACATACAGTGTGGAAAAGTGCTCATTCACACGGAACTCATAAAGATGCATATACTTTTTATGCTCTGTGTTTTTGATGGAACCCAATCTAATGGTAAAATGGACAACAGTGGCGTGAAAAGCAACCTGCAGAGTTCTTCATGTAAATGAAAAAGCAGTTCATTACCCATTGTTTCCCAAAACCGGCCCCCTCTGTATTTTGCAGATCTTTGCAGAACACAGGTGAAATTTAGTATACTTGATTTAGCCTGTGCCCTGTTGATGGTCCTATAGGACCATCCCATTTAACCTTTTATAAGACAGATCTTTCCTTTGTTAGAGCAATTTCAGTCTGTTCCGGTGCAGTTTGACCGCACTACGGGAGCAGCGCAGATTGCCCGCGGGTTTGGTGCAGGTTAGCTATTCTTTCCTATTGAGTTACATTATGTTTTTCGGTTTTGGTGCGCTTTCTAAAAGTCCTGCATACTACACTTTGGTGCATGTTCAAAAAGCGCACCAAAGTTACAGGACTTAATGCAACTCTGTGGGACAGAGCAGCTAACCCACACCTAACCTGTGGGTAAATTTGCACTTTACCCAGCTGCACTGAAACAGCATGAAAATGCTCCAGTATATCAAGGAAAAGAGCTGTCTTATACAAGGTAAGTGGGCTTGTAACTAACAGTTCAGAAATGAAACACAAGGGGGCACCAGCTTAGGTGCAGCATCAATGGGTTTATTACAATTAAAAAGCCGAATGCAAACTCACAGAAATATAAAATTAAAGAGCTTATCTGCAGCTATGCTGCTTGTGACAGCATGTTGTCAGTGAGAAAACCAAGTCCAAAGTTCCAGGAAGTGAGGAGAGCCCCTGTGGAATCCAGGGCAGGATGTGATGTCATACCTGGGGCGGGGCTGGTTGCTATGGTAATGTGTTTTGGAGCTCCCATTGGCTCCTTTCTCAAACCATACCTATGCTACACAAGCGCATGCTTACATTTATCTAGGAGGGTAGAGGCTAACTTATGCAGATGGTGCATTAGCATTTATTTGTGCCACAATTTCATTTGTTGTTTATTATAACAAACCATTAGATTCCCCTTTCATGGGAAAAATTACACTTGGAGTATACATTTTAATTTGGCTGATATGGCAGAGACAATTTCTCTTCCAAATGAACTAGGTTTCGTTAATTTACGCTTGTGAATAAAATGTGTATTTGGTCTCTGCACTCCGTTTTCATTGTAAGTGTATTCTTCTTTTGTGTGTGAAATATAATAAATTAACTATAAATTATATATATAAAAATATAATAAACAATGAAAGCTCTCAAATGGAGAATGTTATAACTTCGAGATGGAATTTTTGTAATGATTTTCTGATGAAGATAAGCACAGAACTTTTCTTATATCCTTATTGTTTTATTTTTATTTTTTTTTTCTTTACTAGGCCCAGCATCTCGCTCAGTGGAAACTCTAAAAGAAATGATCAAATCTGGGATGAATGTTGCTCGTATGAACTTTTCCCATGGGTCCCATGAGGTGTGTAGTGTATTCCGGTTGTCTTAAGCTGTAGAATAGAAGGTCACTGTGGAAATCCAATCTGCCCCTGCAGCTGTTTGCTATAAAAATAATTTCTTCTACACTACGTGGTTAGCACTCCATTCTGCTTTACTCTTTATGAACAAATTTGCCAAAAAAATTAATTTTTTTTTTCCTATGTTCATTATAAGCATGACTATTATAAATTGACTTATTATAAATTGGTTCTTATCCTACCTCCCATATAATGAAGATGATATGATTTGTGGAACCTGAAAGCCTCTTAAACATTTTCTGTCATAGTGAATATTTCAGACACAATACACTTTTATGTGAATTTAATTGAGACTCTGGCATTACACTTTTGTTTACCAGATAGTTTTCAATTTCAGTGATTTCTCAATAATTCAAACTGCCTAAACTGAATTTTTCATTTAGAAACCGAGTGCAAATGTTCCAGCGTTTTTAATAGCCAACAGTTGAAATGCATTCTGAGTCATTTCAAACATAATTCCACATTAGTCACAGCAGTAAAAATGGCATGTTTTCTCTATTATTGGTACTAAGCAACCCAGTTTGTTGCAAATTACACATCATTATCAATACAAATAAATTAAGATTTCTGATGATTATGCAAGAGGGGTCTCTCCCTGGCACACTGTGGTGCAATGACTCTGCTCTTTCTAGAAAAGAACATTTTTAATCTGGCCACAATTGTCTGTTACTGATTTGAGAATGTAATGCCAGCTAACTACTGCTATACCTATTGTCCTTCAAATGTCTTCTTGGCATATTATGCTCTCAAGTATCCATGGCTTGTAATGACAATTTCCACTGAAGGACATATCCTTATAGCACATGGAAGGTGATCTTGTATGAATGCATGCATACAGATTTCAGTGACCTTTTGTGGCATTTGTTAAACACATTTTCATTCTTGCACAGGCATGACTTAAGCTGTAGGCTTGGCACATGTAATGGTTGGGCATACCTTGTGCTATGTAGCTGGCAGACAAAAAGGTGTCAATTTCATTTATATCTGATGACATGCATTCTTGTACTTTCTTCACCTTGGATCAATACAGATAAATGTCCCCAGAGAACCAAAAAAAGCCTAGTTTCAAATCACTGTAAAAAAAAAAAAAAAAAAAAAGCACCACCTTGCGCTATCATTCCTTGTGCTGGGGAATTTGTATAGATCTAAATCTCATGTTTTCACAACTTGGTTGCTTTTACTTTGCTCTAGAAAAAATGAAGCACTAGATTCTGATACATTAATAATTCTGTGTTTTTTTAATTATGAATTATATTCTAGTACCACGCCGAAACCATTAAAAATGTCCGTGAAGCTACAGAAAGCTTTGCTTCTAACCCAATCCTCTACAGACCTGTGGCTGTTGCATTGGACACCAAGGGACCAGAAATCCGCACAGGTCTCATCAAAGGCGTAAGTACTCTAAAATCTACAGGATCTGAATAAAGAATACGCAAATTTAGAGAGAAATCCTTGTACATCTACAAGTGGATATTATCCATAATACTTTTCAGTGTGACCTCTGCTAAATGCCTTTGACTGTCCCTAGAGCTAAAATGGGCTTGGGGGGGGGGGGGGGGCTGGGGGCTGGATTTAGATAGAAATATGTTTACCTGTTGCAAACTCCTTGTATATTTTGCTTTGTTACACTCTTTGTTGGTTTGTCTTTTAGAGTGGCACAGCTGAAGTGGAACTAAAGAAAGGCGCAGCCCTGAAGGTGACCCTGGATGATTCTTTCCAGGAAAACTGTGACGAGAATGTGCTTTGGGTTGATTACAAGAACCTTACCAAGGTGGTAGCAATTGGAAGCAAGATCTATGTAGATGATGGTCTCATTTCCCTGCTGGTTAAAGAAGTTGGTTAGTAGATTATCTTGATGCGAAAATAATCTGGTTATTCCCTTGTTGTGTCATTAGTTTGGTAAGACACTCTTAATGGTGTCAAGTACAAGTGTATAGGGATGCTAAAACAGGTTGAAACAGGTCAAATGCAGGTCAGAAAGTGGTCAAGTACACCTGTCTGTGAATCCTGAATGATCTCAAACATGCTGCATTTATCCATCAACACAATCCCATATCAACATATGCCCCTGTAGTAGAGTGGGAAGGGTTTAGATCTTCTGACTGTTTCTACTTGCTGCTTGTGCTTCCCTGAACTCATGTGGCTGTCGCAGAGATAAAAATTGGGGGTAATATTCCCAATAGGCTGACAGCCAGTCATTTTGGCATATTTTGAATGGAATTGGTCTATCTGCACTAAAGTTTCCAAACAGATAGCAGAACTAAAAAGAAGGCACATAAACATATGCCTGCAAGTACATCTTCTATAGTTGCTTAGCATGCTCAGTACACACTAATGTGTCCGAGTATCTCCAAAACTGCAGCTCTTGTGGGATGTTCTTGGTCTGCAGTGGTCAGGACTGACCAAAAGTGATTCAAGGAAGGAAAACTGGCAAACCAGGGTCGGTGCAGCCAAGGCTCATTGATGCACATGGGGAGTGAAGGCTGGCCCATGTAGTCCTATACAATATAAGAGCTACCGTAGCTCAAATTGCTGAAATAATTAATGCTAGTTTTGATAGGTGTCAGAACACACAGTGCATCACAGTTTGTTGCATATGGGTCTGTGTACCCGCAGCCCAGTCAGGCTGCCCATGCTGAACCATGTCCACAGCCAAAAACATCTACAACATTGCAACTTACAGAACTTAAAGGATCTGCTAGTGACAGCTTGGTGCCGGATACCACAGCATACCTTCAGAGGTCTAGTGAAGTCCATGCCTCTATGGGTTATGGTGGGTGGTCATAAAGTTATGGCTGATCGTGGTATATACAGTTACACAGTTGACATCATCTACACTACATACATATTCATATTTAATAGCCTTGAAATCTGTTTTAACGCCGCATATTCTCTACAAGAAAGAAACCTCAAAAGAATACTTTTTTTTTCCAGACGCGTTCTGCTTCTTAGGGAGCAGCCTCTTTGTTGTGTAGAAAACAACATGTCTCTCACAATATGCATTTTGGGTAGGTTTGGCTGGGTCATCAATCTCCAGAAATAAGCACTGGTTCCAGCCCAGCGATTGAAGTATCTGGGGCTGTGCCTGGATATAGTCCAGGCAAAGATGATTCTTTCTCCAGAGAAATGCCTAGCATCGAAGAATCAAGTGTCTGCTCTCAGAACCATAAGGTATCTCTCAATTCATCTCTGCATGAGAGTTTGGGGGAACATTGTGCCCTCATTTGAGGCAGAATTTCTGTTGCAAGCTTCTGCAGCAGAATTTCCTGAATGCATTTGAAAGGGGGGAAAAAAATCATTGGACTCCCCAATGTTCTTACATTTTTGTGCTCTATGGTCCTTGGACTGGTGGATGTCACCCTGTCTCCCCAAAGGTAGGAGGCAAGGAAGTAGTTTCTCCCCCTTGCTTGAAAGATGACCACTTGACAGGGTGGATGGGCAGGGTCCAACTGCAGGCAATCTGACTAGTTGTCCTGCACTGGTTGAATCAGTTTCAGAGGGTCCCAGTGAGGGTTGAGTTGGACAGTGTCATGGCTGTGGCATATAAATCATCAAGGGGTACCAAGAGTTGGGCGGTCCAGAAGGAGGTGGACTGCATCTTGTGGGCAAAGCTCCCTTTTTCCCACTCTGACCACAGTTCACATTCCAGGTGTAGAAAGTTGGGAAGCAGACTTCCTCAGCTGTCCACAATTTACACCAGGGGAGTGGGCTGTCAGTCTGAAGGTGTTCAAGGCTCTCTGTTGGCAGACGAGGCACACTGAATGTGCCTCTATTGGCATCAAGGTTCAGTGGAAACTGGACATATAGGGTCCCAGTGAGGGTTGAGTTGGACAGTGTCATGGCTGTGGCATATAAATCATCAAGGGGGTACCAAGAGTTGGGCGGTCCAGAAGGAGGTGGACTGCATCTTGTGGGCAAAGCTCCCTTTTTCCCACTCTGACCACAGTTCACATTCCAGGTGTAGAAAGTTGGGAAGCAGACTTCCTCAGCTGTCCACAATTTACACCAGGGGAGTAGGCTGTCAGTCTGAAGGTGTTCAAGGCTCTCTGTTGGCAGACGAGGCACACTGAATGTGCCTCTATTGGCATCAAGGTTCAGTGGAAACTGGACAGTCTTTTTCAGGACCAGGAATCTTCAGGCATATATGTTAGATGCCCCGGTGATGCTATGGAACCAGTTCTTTCTGATGTATGCCTTTCCTTAGTTACAGCTTCTTCCGTGTTTGCTTCTCAGGGTTTGGGTGGAGGGAACACTAGTGCTTCTGCTTGCATTAGCTTGGCCGAAGAGAACGTGGTATTCCAACATTGTAAATATGTTAATGCATGGCCTGTGGATACTTCAAACCCAGCCAGACCTTCTGTCACAAGGTCTGATCTTCATCCTTCTTTAAGGTTGCTGGCTTTAACAGCATAGCTATTGAAGCCATAATCTTGAGGGGAAATCTGAGGCAGTCATCTGCACACTTTTGGGAACCACAAAGGCTACTTTGAGGAAGATTTACCACAGAACCTGGAAATTGTGTGAAGTTTCATCCTGGCAAGTATGTTGTAGGCCGTATTCTGGCTTTTCTCCAGTCAAGGATTATTATGTAACTGGCCTGGAGTCCAGTCAAGGGGCAAATTTTGGTCTTGGCAGTCTCTTTTCAAAGGCCAATTGCTGCTCATTTCTTGTTGCGTACCTTTTTGTTGAGGGTGTCATGCAAGTGGTGCCTCCATTCAGGTCGGCTTTACTCCGTGGGACCTCCGTTTGGTGCTTTCAGTGTTACAGAAACCACTATTTGAGCCAATGCAAGATATTCCTCAATTCTTTTTGACCTGGAAGGTTGTGTTCCTTGTTGCTATTACTTTGGCACATAGGGTATCGGAGCTGGTGCCTTGCACGGACCCTTTTCCAGTGATGACTCATTCTACCAGGAGTGTTGGTGCCTCCTGGCCTATCCTTCATTAGGCGTCAGTGGCTCAGGTATGCAAGTCCCCAACCTGGTCCTCCGTTCATACATTTACAAGGTGAATGTAAGGGCCGCTGAGGATGTGATCGCACATTGCAGTGTTTTGCAGGCTGCTCTGTAAGGGGGGGGGGGGGGGGGGTGGTATGTGTGTGTTTTTACATTTTTTTTTTTTTCATTTGGTCTGTCTGTGGTTGCCGTGTCTCCCTGCCCTCATGCGCATGGATTTAGGGTATCCCAATGTGTAAGGCCATAAGGCTGCTCTGTTTTTGATTTGCCTGTAAAATCTATTTCTTGAAGTACATCACGGGACACAGATCCCTCCACGCTATGTTGGGATGTATGGCTTCTACAATACTGAGGTGCTTACTCTATTAGAAGGATTATATAGGGGAGAACTTCCTGTCTTTTTGCCGGTATCCAATCAACTGTAGGTGGTGAATAACCCTATGAGAAAGGATTGGTAAGGCTGCTCTGTACTCCATGATGTACTCCAAGAAATGGATTTTATAGGCAAGTCAAAAATCCAGTTACAGTTAGGTCCATATATATTTGGACACGGGCACAATTTTCATACTTTTGGCTCTGTATGCCACCAGACTAAATTTAAAATTAAACCATCCAAATGAATTTGAAGTGCAGACTTTCAGCTTTAATTCAAGGGGTTGTGCATAGATACAAAGTACAAATTGTAGGAACTGCAACCATTTTTATACACAGTCCCTTCATTTTCAGGGGCTCAAATGTAATTGGACAATTGAATATAAACATAAATAAAATGTTTATTTTTAATATTTTGTTGAGAATCCTTTACTGGCAATGACTGCCTGAAGTCTGGAACCCATGGACATTACCAAAGACTGGGTTTCTTCCTCTCTGATGCTTTGCCAGGCTCTAACTGCAGCTGTCTTCAGTTGGTCTTTGTGGGACTTTCTGCCTTTTTAGTTTTGCCTTCAGCAAGTGAAATGCATGTTCAGTTGGGTTGAGATCAGGTGATTGACTCAGCCATTGCAGAATATTCCACTTTTCCTTCAAAAGCTCCTGGGTTGCTTTTTTTTTTTTTTTTTTTTTTCCAGTGTGTTTTGGATCATTGTCCATCTGTACTGTGAAGCGCCGTCCAATCAACTTTGCTTCATTTGGTTGAATCTGGGCTGACAGTATATCTCTTAACACTGCAGAATTCATCCGGCTGCTTCTGTCTTCTGTTACATCATCAATAAACACCAATGACCCAGTGCCACTGGAAGCCATGCATGCCCATGCCATCAGACTGTCTCCACTGTTTTTTACAGATGATGTTGTGTGCTTTGGATCATGAGCTGTTCCAAGCCTCCTCCATACTTTTTTCATACCGTCATTCTGGTAGATTAATTTTAGTTTCTTCCGTCCAAAGAATGCTTTTCCAGAACTGGTCTGGCTTTTTTAGATGTTTTTTTGGCAAAGTCTAATCTGCCTTTTCTATTCTTCAGGCTTATGAATGGTTCGCACCTTGAGGTGAACCCTCTGTATTTGCTCTTGTGAAGTCCTCTCTTGATTGTAGACTTTGACAATGATGCGCCCACCTTCTGGAGAGTGTCTTGTATGTTGTGAATGGGTTTTTCTTTACCATGGAGAGGATCCTGCGATCATCCACCACTGTTGTCTTCTGTGGACATCCATGTCTTTTTATGTTGCTGAGCTCACCAGTGCGTTGTTCTTTCCTCAAATGTACCAAACTGTTGATTTGGCCACTCCTAATGTTGCTCCTATCTCTCTGATGGATTTGTTTTTAGTTTTTGAAGCCTTACAATGGCCTGCTTTACTTGCATGGACAGCTCCTTTGAAAGCATGATGTAGGTTCACAGCAAAAGATTCCAAATGCAAATACCACAATTAGAGTCAACTCCAGACCCTTTACCTGCTTAATTGATGAAGAAATAACGAAGGAGTAGCCCACACCTGGCCATGAAATAGCTTTTGATTCAATTGTCCAATTACTTTTGGTCCCTTGAAAAGGGGGGGGGGGTGGCTACTCTTAAGAGCTGTAATTCCTAAACCCTTCCTCCAATTTGGATGTACATACCCTCAAATTAAACCTGAGAGTGTGCATGTTCAGTCCATATCCATTATATAACTATAGCTTGAATATGTTTTGGTAAATACCTGAAAAAAACTAAAATTGTGCCGGTGTCCAAATATATATGGACATAACTGTATCTACAGCCCTTGGTATGGTAGCATGATCAATTAGTTTTAGATAAAATAATAAAGAATGTAGACTATATATTTGGCACTCAGCTTATTTTTTTTTTTGTTTTATCACCCCCTGTGCTCTAAATGGCAAAGTTTATTTTAGATGATGAATAATTATGGTAAAAAAATATCAATGTAGATTGTAAAATTTCCTTTACATTGGCGATCAGTGGGAAAAGACTCCCCAACACAGAGCTAAAAAAATTGAGGTCAGTAGTTTCTTACCTGAGAGACTAGAGAAGAGGATGGCTGGCCCTAACATGATTTTTGCTGGAACTAGCTTAGGTAGGTAATCAATCTGCCACTGATAAAATGGTCAAACTGCTAGCTACCTCTGGTGGAACCCTGTTTGAGAAACAATGTTGTGGAAGAAAATTACTGCTTAGTGTGCAGAAAGATGCTACTGGAAAGATTAAGGTTGACACCACCTGAAAAGTAAGGAGTTTAGCAATATTTCACTGTGCTGCTTTATGTAGTTCCCTTAATGTTTTTATTGCCTTCTTTATCTAGGCCCAAACTACTGTATAACAGAGGTGGAGAATGGTGGATCCTTGGGCAGTAAGAAGGGAGTAAACCTTCCAGGTGCTGCTGTAGACCTGCCTGCTGTGTCTACGAAAGACGTTCAGGACCTTCAGTTTGGAGTACAACAGGGAGTGGACATGGTGTTTGCTTCCTTCATTCGCAAGGCAGCTGATGTGCAAGCTGTAAGAGACGTTCTCGGGGAGAAAGGAAAGAATATCAAAATTATCAGCAAGATTGAGAACCATGAAGGAGTACGCAGGTAGGAATGACTGCTGGATAGATGACTACTGAAGGGGAAGGGTGTGTGCCTGAGTATTGTACAGTTATGATTTACCTATGTACACTTTTGAAGTCTTCCAGGGCCTTTATCATAAATTCTGCTTTTCCAAGGACTGTAGTAATTTTATTTCTTCTTGTTTTGTGTCTTAAAGTAGTTCTAAAGGTTTAGGGCCAGTTCACACTACATGCGTTTTTAGTGTGCTTTTTTTCTGCATCTGAAAAGCACAGAAAGTAGGCTATATGGTTGTCAGTAGCGGCTCCTATTGCTGTCAATCAAATTCTGTGGTGGGGATGGGGCTGAGCTACACTGTCTGCTCAGCATTGGGCCTGCATGAGTGCCCCTACAGGAAGCAGCTTCCCATGGTGCCACTTGATGAAGAGATGGAGCCAGGAGTACTGGTGGGGAACTGAAGAGGAGGATCAGGGCTGATGTGAACAAAACTATTGCACAGCCTAGGTAAATATGACATTATTAGGAAAAAACAAAAAAGTTTACACTCACTTTTTAAAGGATTGACTGTATATCCCATATGGCGAGCAGATATTCTGACAGGTCTGCATGGCATCAGCGATCTACTGATCACTGGTGCAATGCTTTATAGGCTCTTTTTGGACAAAAATAATAAATGCACTTTTTTTTTTTTTTTTACCTGCAAAAAAAATGTGTATTTATTCTTTTTTGTCCAAGAGGTGAACTTATCCTTTTTAAGCTGTGTATGTAATGAGGGGAATTTACCAAAACTGGAGCAGCCATATTCAGGAGCAGCAGAGATATACTTGGTTTGTTCTGCAATTAAAGCTTTTTTACCTACTTGCTAGCGCACTTCTTCAGAGGCCTTGCATCTGCAGCTCAATCTGCAATCTTGGCATGCCTTTTTCATGAGATGTCATCCCAGATAGGTCAGTCGAGGTGGTCGAAGAAGCGAGACCCCGGAAAAAGACTGGGAGAGAGCTTGTGGGCATCATTTTGCTGAGTGTAGGAAAGCATTGTTTGTTTGTGGTTTTTTTTGTTTTTTTTTTCCCAAGCTTTAAATGCTTAGCATTTTGCACCTTATAAAATGATCCACTTACTTCTCTATATCTTAATGAGGTATAAACTGGTAAATTCTGTCTTTGCGCTTCTATTTTAGATTTGATGAAATTCTAGAAGCCAGTGACGGTATCATGGTGGCCCGTGGTGACCTTGGTATTGAGATCCCAGCAGAAAAAGTCTTCCTTGCCCAGAAGATGATGATTGGTCGTTGTAACCGTGCAGGGAAGCCTGTGATATGTGCGACACAGGTAGTATTCCTAACTTTTTTTTCTTTTGCAATTTGTATGAAACAGATAACTTTTTTTTTTTTTTTTTTTTACAGATTCTTAAGACCTTGGTAACTTTTTTTTTTTTTTTTTTTTCTCTCTTTACAGATGTTGGAGAGCATGATCAAAAAGCCACGCCCAACCCGTGCTGAGGGCAGTGATGTTGCCAATGCAGTACTGGATGGGGCAGACTGTATAATGCTTTCTGGTGAGACTGCTAAGGGAGACTATCCACTGGAGGCAGTACGCATGCAGCATGATGTAAGTATTCTCAAGCAACAGGCCACTTTCTGCCACTACATACACACATCAGCTCTTCTAGGGACCTGCATTGCCAGATTAGTTGATCAGCTAGAAATTTCCTCATTACAGACAATCAGAATACAGTGGATTCATAGTCATTAAACTGAGCAGATAGGTACTGTAGTCCTATGTGTTTTTAGTCCTAATGTGTTTTTTACTTGGTTGGGTAAGAACATCACATACAGCTTTTTATCTTGTTTACATGAACATAACAGTTTAGACTGAGTGTATTTGTGGTTGGTGTGTGTGCGTGTGTGTATTTATATACCCGTTAATATATAACCCACAAAAGCGTGCAGTGTGCTGTATTGCGTCTTTAGATAAGGTTGTTGTGGCATGTGCTGTCGCTCTGCTGTCTGCTATAGCTTGCTGAAGGCTTTGCGCAGCTTTTAGATAGGCAGTAAGTAAAGACCCCATTTAATGAATGAGCACTTGAAAATTCAGCTCCTTTTCTGCGCTTCCTTCCTCCTTGCCTCCCCTATCTTCTCTACTTCACTGAAGGCCGGTGATGGCATGCTATTTGCCAGCTCACACTTTTACCATGTGTCTGAGGACTGACTCCGGCAAGGCTTGTCTCTTTTAGTGCTGTTGGAAAGGAGTCCTGACTGCTCCTGGTATTTGGACAGTTGGCATGTTTTGATAACTGATGTGGGAGAGTGCTGACTGAGACAAGTCATATTACTCATGCACCAACCGTGCGTACACATCTGCTTCTACTTGTATTACTGGTATGCACGTTCATCCGGGAAGTATTCTTTTAAAGTCTTCACATGTGCTTCAATTAAAAAAAAATGGCCTATTTTTGTAGTTTTATGAGTACAGTGAACTCATTTTTTGTTTCTAAATAAATAAAATATATATATATATATATATATATATATATATATATATATATATATATATTATATTTTTTTTTTTTTTTTTTTTTTACGTTAGACTACTGTTAACAGACTTAACTGATTAGACTTAACTGATTTGCAAATCTGATGAATTGAGACTTGGTATTCAATTTGCCTAAATATATTAATGCAGACCTGAAAAGCATAACACATATGATTCGGGATCATCTGAATTGCTGGAATCTTTACACATCTGACACCTCTTCTTTATCAGGAAATTCAGCATATTACCAGTTTTGGTTTACCCGAGTGACGTTTATTCACAAAGAAAGTAAAGCATGTTCACTTTGCAATTTGAATTTAGCTTTGTGAATGAGGTGAAGTTAAATGACAATGCACATTGCAAAGTATACCTAATTATGTGCAAAAAAAAAATAGGATTGTTACTTTCACCTCATTTACTAAGCTAAGGGGAAATGTAACCTTGCAAAGTGAACATGCTCCAGTCTTTTAATAAACCAACCCCACTGTTCTAATGCAAGTCTGTATAATCTTCACTGCAATTAACAAATCCAGACAGTCTCCATTCATAAGTTGAATGATTCCCCCCACATTGGAGAAGTTTACATGAATATATTTGACCAAATACAAGTGTGGTTCACCAGTTTGTCTGATTTGCAAGTCAATTTGTTTGTCCCAGTTACTTATTTTTTTTCTCCTCTCAGTCACATTAGTAGCTCTTGTTAAAAAAGCAGAGATGCAATATATACAGGCACAATCTGTATCACCTAGAGCAGTGGTGGGCAACCTTTTTTTTCAACTGAGCCAAATCTCGCCAAAACCATGATTGAAATTTATTTTGAGAGCCACATTTTTAAAACTGAAAATACATCTCCCATATAGTAATTCATCCCCCATAGTAATTCATCCCCCATATAGTAATTCACCCCCCATAGTGTAATTCATCCCCCATAGTAATTCATCCCCCATATAGTAATTCATCCCCCATCGTAATTCATCCCCCATAGTAATTCATCCCCCATATAGTAATTCATCCTCCATATAGTAATTCATCCCCCATAGTAAATTCATCCCCCATATAGTAATTCATCCCTCATAAAGTAATTCATCCCTCATATAGTATTTCATCCCCCACAGTACTATCCCCCCCCCCCCCCTTCTAGTAAGCCAAGTCCCCCCCCGTGTCAATTCACTTACCTTTTGCGTTCCCTCTCGCTGTCTTCCCGCGCCGTTCGGGTCTTCAGGGCGGACTGTGAGAGGAGCCTAGCTCCCCTCCCCTCACGTTCGGCACGCTGCCCCGCCTACACACACATCCTGACAGCCACATCCGCGGGCCGGATTAAAGGTCCGCGCGGACTTTTGGGGCTGCCAACCGAGAGGAGGCAGAAGGGGGACCTAGGGGAGGCGAGGGGAGCGGCCGACCGAGAGGAGGGAGGGGAGCAGGCGCCCGGCACACAGAAGAGCCGCATTAGAGTGGGTAAAGAGCCGCATGTGGCTCGCGAGCCGCGGCTTGCCGACCACTGACCTAGAGTGATATTCTTTACTGCTTGGCGGATTAATTCATTAAACAGCCCTTGGTATTTTAGTTTATTCTTTTTTTTTAATATGCTTGCCATCTAGCATGTGCAAATATTTAAATGTAATGACTGGCCGTGGATTGTAGCAAATTTGTATATAAATTTTATGCTAACTCCCAGATTTAGTTAAATGTGCAATTTAATATCTTGTACATGGATCATTTAAACCATAATGCCTTCATTTTCATGCTGTATGAAATAGAACATCTTGACCTAACAAATTAATCTGTTTTGACTCTTAAGGTCTACCAGCTTTGATCAGGATAAATGCTGGTTGTACATGTTAATTCTCTGGAGTCCAGGCGATCTATCCTAAATTAAATATGTTTGTTTGTCTAACCACAAAACTACCTGAAACTCACAGTGCGCACATGCAGGTTTGTGTGTAAATGGACCATACGTGCACTTCAGTGATTGCAAAGCAAGGTATTGTTCTGCATTGTGTCATCCCCTCACCTCTCCTGACATATGCTCTGCTGCCTGACCTTTCTTTGCTGGGTTAGAGAAGTGGCAGTGTGTTGCATGGTGTTGCCTGGAGTGTCATTCCACTACACAGCAGTTGTCTATGTAATAGAGGTGACTGTACAAACTCCAAAAAGGGTTGTATCCTTATGCCCACCCCCTAGTTCTTGTCTTGGTGACACTGTTGAGAGTGGGAGAAGATATCATAAATGTGGACAAGGTCAGCAATAAAAATGTGAGGGATTTTAACCCTTCTGTAGTCCTATTAAAAGGTCTATTTGTAAGAGTTTTCAAAAAAATTTATATATATGCCATCTTAAGGAGAGTTCTTCCCCTTTTACTTAAAAGAGACGTATGGCCAAAGCTTTTTTGGCCATACTTTTCTTCTTCTTTCTTCTTTCTTTCTTCTATTTTTGTACTCCTGTGACCCACAATCAGCTGACAGAGGGCTGCTGAGAGCCAAAGCAGCCGCTTCAGTGAGAGCTGAAAGGGCAGAGTAGAGAGCAGTGTGACTGTCACCGCTCTCTGCTCAGAGTTGACTGAGAAGTGAGCAATCAGCGGTCATTGATTGCTCAGTTCACGGGCTTAGAGCTGGCAGGGAACAACTGCAGATAGATATATATATATAATTTTTTTTTTTTTTCAATTAGCACACTTCTACTGTTAAAATATTGGTTAATGCCAGACTCTGTCAACTCTAGCCTAGTCAATGTATTTTCATTATTAAAGTATGATGAAAATGTATTTTAACAATTTCTGCATGCAGAATTTACATGAATAATCCTTAAAGGATAAGTTCACATTTTGTAACATGTTCCACCCATATTCATGGTTTAATATGTAACAAATTAACTGGCCTCTGCTTTCCCCCGATCCCCCGTTTTGACAGCAGAGATATTCTCCCCCCGCTGGCTTTCACAGTCAGAAAAAAACATTCATTCATAGTATGTGAATGTGGAAACTACAAGTTCTGACAGTCTTTGCGGCTGTCGGCTTGTACTTCTCAATGAACTACCAGAGCGTGTTGAGCTCTCTAGGTAGTTAATTGAACTTCCTGTCATTGTGTAACTGTCTGGCCGTATCGGAGGTATGGGCAGGCAGATACAGAGACTGTTTGCAGGACCATGGCATTACACCTACGATCTGCTGATCATGGGTGCAATGCTTTACAAGCTCCTAACAAAGATATAATAAAAATGTACCTGCAAAAAAAAGTGAGTTTTTTTATTATTTATGTAAAAGTAAACATATCATTTAATCTCTATGGTAACTCTGTAGTTCTATCCCCTTCTAGATGGGTTTCAAAGTCTACGGTTACATTATTCTCTTTAATCTATACTGACCCCTGTTCTATATGTTAAATAGGAATTTCAGGTATGGATAATTTACAAATCATTATTGGTCCAGCAAAGAGCAATGTAATTATGTATATGCCATACCTGGCCGATCCCTCTGAAAGCTGGAAATCACTGAAGTAGACACCCCTACTCCAGTGAGCTTCACTTGCTTCCCAGTCCTGTGCTGAGCGCCTTGGATGAGATGGCGAATATGATGTCACCACCACCCTGTTAAATTAGAACGCTTTGCATTCATTCAGTAAATGCAAAGCAAAAAGTAGTACCTTGAAAATGTTTTTGGGTTAGTTAGCACTTACAGTGTGAACAAAGTGGGAAAAACAATTGTCCACATTAATCTGATACAGCATCTCTATATATCAAACATTTATACACTGCATGATGGAAAAGTAGTTGTTTTGCACTAGATAAAGCTTGACTGTAGTCAGTGCATTTTATGCTACAGTTTTGTCATATACATGTTTTAAGCATTCAGTCACCCTACATTACATGTAGCTGGCATTTCCTATGATTTTGTAATACCTCTTAATAGGTATTTTTTCACATGACTAAAAAGCTTTTGTCTGGACCATATGTTCAGTTCCACAGCCACACTTTTTATTTAGTAACTCCAATAGACATTATTTACTGGAGGTTTATAGATTTGATGGAAAGTTGGTAGAAATCTTCTATTCTGATGGTATAGCTAAAACAGTATCACATATATTCTCAGTACACAAATAGCTTTATGGGTTGTTCATGTCCAAAGTCTTCAGGCTGCATTGAAAACATCCATTAGGTGAGACATTTTTCAATCAAGAAGTAATGTAGTTTGCATACTTTGTTGGGTTCTCGGAGTTGTCATCACATGCTAGAAGTCTTATCAACAGTACGTATCACCAACTTTGTTGTATCGGTGTTTAGATATCATCTTTACAGCAGCCTGATGATTTCTAGTGTCTGTCCTGCTTCTCTTCCTTTTCATCTCCTACTCCTCTAGTTTTTCTTTCCTTTAACCCAAGTTCTTCCTAATCTTTCACACTAACATTTTGGCTTGTGGTTACTGGTGCAGAGAATCACTCTGCTTTATTTTCTTTCTTTTGTTATATGTCCCTTTCTCCCCTTGTCCTCCTGTCCCTTGCCCTGGTTCCTTTTCTCCTTTCCTTCGGCTCACAGATTGCTCTGGAGGCCGAGGCTGCTGTTTTCCACCGCCAGCTCTTCGAGGAACTTTTTCGTCTCACGGTTAACTCCAGGCATCCTGCGGAAGCAATGGCTGTAGGCGCAGTGGAGGCATCTTTTAAATGTTTAGCAAAGGCGTTGATAGTTCTGACAGAGTCCGGCAGGTAGGGCTCTGTCCACTCCACTATCCCTTAGCTTCTAACATGCTGCAACGTCTCTGGTTACTCCATGGTTCAGGCAGGTTGCGAGTGTGAATGCTGAATGAGTGGTTTCAGGTGATAGGCTCTGTCATACAATGAAAAAATGTAGCCTGACTGATGTGAATGTCTCCCATCCCATCCTGTTTCCCCCCTCCCCATTCATTCCCTACTTCCCTGCACTGGGCATTTGCGGCACGGCTTATCCCATTACTGCTAGATCGCTCGTGAGGCAGAAGCAGCCATTTTCCACCGTCAGCTGTTTGAGGAGCTTCGACGTGTGTCCCCGCTGACCAGTGACCCAACAGAAGCGACTGCTGTTGGAGCAGTTGAGGCATCTTTCAAATGCTGTAGTGGAGCCATCATCGTTCTTACCAAATCTGGCAGGTAGGAGGGGAATAAGCTCTGTAACAAAGCTGTGTATACTGTGCCTATTGGATCAGGAGTCTGGGAGGTAAATGTGTTACTAGACCAATTACTGACTTAATTAAAAGATTGCTGATTCCTGAGAACAACCCTCTTGACTGAGAAGGGATTAACAGAGGAAACAGGTCATGATGGTTTGTGTTTAGTACTCTGGACAGCTGAAGTTGCTGCTCTTATTTCATATGACCTTTTCTCTTGTGGATCCTTCACTCTGTGACCTTTCTTTGCAGGTATTTATAGCTGTTACCAGCGGCTTTCTATTACAGGGTCACATAGAAAATCACTTTTCTTTTGGCACGTTCTGTCCTTGAGATACCTAATAGAAACATTTTTTTTTCTAATATGTGTGGTTTGGTTAATATTGTTTTATATTTTAAAGTATTATCATACCCTTAAAATAATTATGTGATAGAATCACTTTCAAGCTTTCAGAAACTGTTTTTCTTCTCAGAGCCATATATTCAGATTCTCCTGTAAACTACACATACCTCTGTAGGGTGGCTACACTGCCTTGTGAGGTCTCCCTAGAGCTGCCTTGTAGCCACCATTATGTGCATGTTCTAAGCTGGGAATGCAGCCTCACATGAACATGCAGGACACAGACCACCTCTGAAGTAACTTGATGTCTTCTCTGCCCATCAACCCTTAGATTTGATAGCCGCACTGGAATAAGCTGGCAAATAATTTTCTGCTGCTCTTTCATTGCAGGAATGCAAAGATGGAAGGATCAGCAGAAAACTGAGGGAGGTTATTGTTTACTTTAATGCCCATAAAGGACAAGTATGGCCAAATCTCTTTTGGCTATACTTTTTCCTGTGGGTCACCAGAGTGCACTTTGTTCTACACTCCTTTTTTTTTTTAACCTGTTTTCAGCCAATAGTTGGCTAAAACTTGCTGATGTCACTCAGCTGGTCCAGGCTCAGAAAAGATCCCGACTTTACAGTTGGGATCCACCGGGATGCCTGGACCAGCAGTTGGCTCAGCCTTTCAGCGAGCCACAGGGAGACTGAGCCAGCTTCTCCTGCTTCTTCCACAGCTCAGCGCTCCACTGAGTGCTGGAGGGGCAGAGAGCTGGTGATTGACAGTCACTGCTCTCTGAAGACCAAGAGCTGAGCAATCAGCCATGTTTGATCACTCAGTTCTCTGTTTTAGAGGCAGCGGGGGACAGATGCAGTATGGATTGATGCTGCATCCACCTAGGTTTGTATGATGATTGTTTTTGTGTTTTTTTGTTTTTTTTTCATTCTGGAATGTCTCTTTTAAAGTAAACCTGAAGGTATTTGGTTCTCATGTCCTACTGATTCACTATCCTTTCCTTTTTTGAGATAAAAGCCTGCTGCAGGATCATAGGCTAGGGTTGTCACCAAAGGTATTTTGGGGTAATTTTTAGTATATTTGAACATGTAGAAAAAAGTCACTGGAGAAAAAGTCAGAACCCAGGTAGGTCAAGAAAATGGGGTCTCCCTTTATTCAATCGCATAGCAGAGCAATACAAAGCAGAATGTTTCCCTAGTAAAGCACACACAGTTAACCCTTTGATAGCTCCAGATGTTAACCCCTTCCTGCCCAGTGTCAGTACTTTTAATTAGCACTGATGACTGTATTAGTGTCATTGGGATGTCAGTGGCAGTTGGTCAGTTCCCCCCCCAGTGTCAGAATGACTGCCGCACTCCCGCTATAAGTCACTGATCACCGCCATTACTAGTATAAAAATTTTTTTAAAAAAATTCTAGTATACTGCCATTTGTAGACGATATAACTTTCACGTAAACCAATACATTTTACATTTATTTTTTCAGCAAAGACATGTAGCAGAATACATTTTGGCCGAAATTCATGACTAAATTTTATTTTTTTTTATTTTTTACTGGATATGTTTTATAGAAAAAAGTCAAAAATATTGAGTTTTGTTTTTTTTTCAAAATTGTTGGTCTTTTTTTTTTGTTTATAGCACAAAAAATAAAAAAACAGAGGCGATCAAATACCATCGGAAAAAAAAAAAAGGACAGCAATTTAATTTGGGTACAGCGTTGCATGACCACGCAATCGTCGGTCAAAGTAACACAGCGCTGTATCGCAAAAAATGGCCTGGTCGGGAAAGGGGGTAAATCCTCTGGAGGGCAGGTGGTTAATGAAGGAAGACCTCATTTTGTTGACCTACCTGGGTGCTGACTTTTTCTCCAGTGCATTGTGTCATGTAGAGGCATTGAAAGGCTCATAATGTGAGCACCGGGTCTGGAGCCATGGATTGAGAACATTACTCCTGTTCCCATGTAGAAAAAAGTGCGGAGAGTATGAAGGCTGCCATTGCTAAACTCATTTGAAAATGCTTGCTGCCGGGCTTCAGTGCTTTGCATTTCTGAACATAGAATAATTATGCAAGGCACGAGTTTACTCTTTTCTAGCTTGTTCTATGTCAGAGACTATATTGAGGCTACAGGCTGGCAGGAAAGGAACATTTGTCAGCAGTGACAGCCTTGGTACTAGTACAGGTTTCTCTTGGCCCCTTTTTTACATCTAAGCAATATATGTGCATGATATAGTGCACAGGTGCAAACTGAAGGCAGAAAGCGTTTTCAGTGATGCCTGTTTCTATACTAGTATGTAAAGTACCCATCAAAATGTTTTTGTGATTCTGTCACTCAAAGATGTCAGCTGCTCTACATTCATGTCTGCCTAGCTGCAGAAGCAGTCTTGGGTGGTCAGCTCAGCATTTTGACTGTTAGTAGTTCTAAATACATCATGCTTTATTTGCCTGTAAAATTATGTGAATTTGTTTTTTTGAAGCAAAGGTGTAAAAGAAAGTATCAGAAATTGCTTACCTGTTAACTCTTCTTCCTCTTTGCTCTGATCCTCCCTGTATACATTTTCGAATGAATTGCTTTCTGAAGACTTTTGTTTTTCCTCTATGGTCACGTGACTGCATTGAAGAATGTTTTAAAACAAAAATGTAGAAAACAATTTATTAAAAAATGTATACAGGGATAAGCAGAACGAAGGGGAGAGAAACATTTAACAGGTACGTTATTGTGATGACTTTTCTACTTTAAAGCTGATCTCCAGCTTTTGTTACACTTTACATAGTTTGTTTGGGCCAAGCTGGCCCAAACAGACTATGTCCCTCACGAACATGTGACCTCTAGATGTGATGTATAAACTGTATGTAGCTGTGGCTCCATACAGCACTGTTACTGGTGCGAGCTGAGACCTTCCTGTCTCATACCAGGAACACAATAGCATCTGTCTGAATGGAGCTCAGCCATTCATAGAAAGTGATGTATTTGATCATTGAATACAAAGCTTTATCTGATTGGATGAGTCAGAGGTTGTGACATCATGGGCCCGCCTCTCTGACTCAGCCAATCAGAGGAAACTGTATTCACTGATAGAACACATTGCTTTTAATGAATGGCTGAGTGCCGCTCAGACAGCCACTATTGTGTTCCGGGTATAGGATAGGAAGGTCTTGGCTCGCACCCGGAACACAGTGGTGTATGCTCTATGCAGCCTTGGCTGCATACAGTTTATACAGCACATCCAGTGGCCTCGCATGTTGGTGCGGGACATAATTTGTTTGGACCAGATGAACTATGTAAAGTGTAACAAATGCTGGAGATCGGCTTTAAAGTATAGTTCGATCTTTACCCCCACACCAAAAAAAAAAAAGAAAAATTAATTCTCAATACCCTTTCTTAGGTCAGCCAGCATGCTGATTTTGTACACTTTTAAACTTCATATACAGATCCAGAGGCTATATAGCAGCATAACGCTGGCAGAGGCTGGTGGTCATTGGCTAGCTCTGTCATGTGACTGCTAGCCATTGCCAGCATTTTGCTGCTAAAAAGCCTCCAGGGCTGTGTATAGATTGATACATCAGTTTATTGATGTAGTGGGGAGTATGTTGAGAATTCATGATTTTTTTGGGGGGGTGTAAAGGTAGAAATACCCTTTAAGTTCACAATGACAAAAAATGCTTTGTCATGAAAAATGAATATGACCACAGCATTAATAGGATGTAAGTCAGTAGTCTATTGTAAAAACAAGGACCAATTCAGACTATTACCCTAATGTATATCAAAAATGCATGTATTACTGTAATTTTTGAAAGTAAGTCTAATGCCCTTTTTGAATGGCACCTGGTCAGTGCACAGCAATGTATGTTCAGTTTTAGAATACAATCCACAGATCTCTGCATTCTGGTACACTGTCTTTTAAAACCTAATAGTGTGCCTATCAAAATGAAGGGGCTGCCCTACTGAAACATGCGTTACTGTAACAGACTCTGTTCATACTGTCTGAAATGGGCTTTTAGACAACAGGGTTTACAAGCAATGTTTCTTTTACAGGGTTAATTGCTATATTCAGCATTCTGTATAGTGTGCTGTTTATTTTATGTGTTAACGCCGGCTTTTTGCAGATCTGCACACCTGGTATCCAGGTATAGGCCACGTGCTCCAATCATAGCTGTGACTCGTAATGGGCAGACAGCCCGTCAAGCACATCTGTACCGTGGTATCTTCCCTGTACTATACAAGGAGCCAGTGCATCAGGCCTGGGCAGAGGATGTGGACCGCAGGGTGAACTTCGCCATGGATATTGGTAAGTCAGGGAACAAAATAAAATCACAGTTGCGCCATAAATAAAAATAGTGGGGGGGGGGGGTGAAAATATTGTTAAACAATTTTTAGTAACTTTGCCTTGACTCACACACATGCCTTTCCTAATGCATTGAATTGCACAACAGGTTTAATAACATAGTTTTCTATGTTTGCCATTCACATATATGTGGTCCAGCTGCAGTGCGTTTTTTTTGTTTTTCTTTAAGAGGGTCCTGTGCGATTCTTAGAGCGGTGGGGGTGCGACTTCTAGCCTGATTCACTTTAACAATTCACTTTAGAATCACACCTGCACTGCATGAACAAAATTGCACCTCATTCGGCCATCAAAATCATACCGTATATATGTGAACCTAGGCTGAGAGTGTTGAAGCCAGATGGTAGACCTAACAGCCAGGCAATAAGTACAGCAATTATCTCAAAGGTTCTGTTGAAAAAGGTTAACCTGATAAGTGTTCAGCTAAATTTCTGCTTTTGGATAATACATAGCTTTCAATGAGCAGGCTTACTGGCGGTGCTATTTATTAAAGATATATTAAGATGTTGCTATTGGTGGCTGATTGTTTTTATCTTTTAATTTCTAAAAAATTAAACCAAGTATTTGGTTGGTCACAATGGACAACTTTTTTTTTTCTTTTATAATTATCCCAAGTTTATTATTATTATACAGGATTTATATAGCGCCAAAGGTTTGCTCAGCACTTTACAATATAAGGGGAGACAATACAGCAACAATAAAGTTCAATACAAGAGGGATAGTAGGGCCCTGCTCCTTGGAGCTTACAATCTAGGAGGTAGTAGAAGTGAAGAACTATTGTGTAGTCCTGCAAAGCCAGAAGCAGAACATGCATATATAATGCGCACACATTTGCCCCTTGTATAGTGGTAATTTAAAATATTCAATTTTGGTACACCCCTGTCTCTTATACCCAAACAAACGGTGTACTCAAGCCCCAGTTCACATATATGCAAATTGGATGTGTTTTGAAATGCTTCCAATTCCCATGACATTTTAATCAAAACAGCTTTCTACTGAGTGGGCCAGCCGCATTGCGTTTTTAAAGAGCAGGGTCCGATTTTTAATCAGCTTCAGTCGCAATTTCAAGTGTCAGAAATTCATGCCTGAACTGCTGAACAAAACCGCCCCTGCACATATGTGAACTCGGGATAAAAAAAAATATTTGAGGGTACCACTAATGTAATCTGTGTCGGCACAGGTAATAGGCTAGAACTGCATCCAGATTTAGTTGGGGTTGGTGCCAGTTTATGTTTGTGTATGTACATATCTGCATTCAGTGTTCTTTTGTCATTTTAGGTAAAGCCCGTGGTTTCTTCAAGACTGGCGATTGTGCCATCGTTCTAACTGGCTGGCAGCCAGGATCCGGTTTCACCAACACTATGCGTGTGGTACCAGTTCCTTAAAGTTGATCATCTTCCTGCAGCTCTCGTTCACCTCACTCCTTTATCTGCACTTAGAACGGTTTTGCCCTTTACATAAGCACACTTGTGGCTGCACCTGTAAATCCCATCTTCTATGTGCGGGACAGAGGCGTTAAGTGTGTGTGTGTACATAGCACTGTTCTGCTGCTCGTCACACTCCCTCCCTAATAGTCATTAGACTCCATATGTGCTGCTTACTCCTTAGGGAAACATTTTAGTGCTGTATGTGTTCACACTCCTCTCCTGCTGTCCCTCTATGGTGTTCAGTATGAGTATCCTTTGTGTGTCTTCTCTGGGCAGCTGCGTAGATTGTGGTGTGGTTAGGGGAAGGTTCATCTCCTGCTGTGTAATCCACCAGTCAGCAGTGTGCTGAGTTTAGTGTTTAATAAAATCATGCTACTGAGCACTTCTGCCTCATATTTGTCATTTGTTGTATATACGACGTGTGAAATATTCCAAAAACCGATTGCAATTGTACAGTGGAGCTGCCCATGGAAATGTTCTGGGCTTTTTCAGTCCAACCAGCAAAACCTTTTGACAAACCTGATGCTGCATTAGTTATAGAATATCGGAACTTGTAATAGTGGCATCCTTGTGGTCATTATTAGTAATGCCTACAGCAAAACTGGTATGGTTTTACTTTCATCAAAAGCTAGCCACTTGGCTTCAGGCATTCTGTGACCAGACAGCCCCAGAGGTTTTCTTCATGCTTGGAAGTTTGCATTCCAGATGGGGGCCAGCTATTTATTGTAAGCAGGACACATATAATAGTTACACATATTAAAACCCTTCTTCTCTGGCATATGTATCACATTATTGTAAAGAGGGGCCTCAGCCACTTACTCTCCAGAGGATTTACCCGCCTTCCTGACCAGGCCATTTTTTTGTGTTCCGGCACTGCGTTAATTTAACTGACAATTGCGCGGTCATGCAACACTGCACCCAAATACAATTTATGTCCTTTTTTCCCACAAATAGAGCTTTATTTTGGTGGTATTTGATCACCTGTGAGGGTTTTATTTTTTGCGCTATAAACAAAAAAAGACTGTCAATTTTGAGGAAAAAAAACTATATTTTTGACTTTTTGCTATTAAACATGTCCAGTAAAAAAAATTTTAAAAATCAAATTTTGTCATAAATGTAGGGCAAAATGCTACATGTCTTTACTAAAAAAAAATCCCAATATGTGTAAATTAATTGGTTTACATGAAAGTTATAGCGTTTACAAATGGCGGTATATATTAGGATGGATTTTTTTTTTTTTTTATACTAGTAATGGCGGCAATATAAATAACTTATAGCGGGACTGCGGCGGGCATTCTGAAACTGGGGGGAACTGACTTGGTGTCGCTGACATCCCCAGTAACACCAATACAGTGATCAGTGCTAATAAAAAGTACTGACACTGTACTAATGGCACTGGGCAGGACGGGGTTAACATGGGGCGATCACAGGGTTAACTGTGTGCTGTTTCACAGTAAGCTGTGTCTGTGCTTTACAGTGGAAGCACACTGCTTTGTATGACTCGCTGATCGCCATTACTAGTATAAAAAAAATTCCTGTGTGTATGTGTGTGTATGTGTATATATGTGTATATATTGTGTGTGTGTGTGTGTGTGTGTGTGTGTGTATGTATGTGTAATGAATACAGTATCTCCTAAACATGCACCATTTAGGAGATATTCTACAGAGCTGCAGCTGGTGACAACACCAATGCATGCGCTCTGAAGGAATAACATACCTGTGCCATTCCTTCAGAATTGTGTGATGTCATCAGCTGCTCAGTCATTCAAGTAGCTGCAGCCCTGGGAACCCGGAAAGAACAGGTGAAGATGGAAGCTCTGTCGTGCTGCTGGAGTGCTTCGTTTTAGGGTAAGTTTCACATAATGTATTAGTATACAATGCATACTAGCACATTATGATATTACTTTGCAGGGTGAAACTTTTTTTTTTTTTTTTTTTCTTGGGTATGGTTTATAGCAAAAAGTAAAAAAATGTTTTGTTTTGTTTTGTGTTTTTTTTTTGTTTTTTTTTTTTATTGTTTTCATTTATATAATAAAAAAAAACCAAGGGTTGATCAAATATCTCCAAAAGAAAGCACTATTTGTGTGAAAAAAAATTTAATTTGGGTACAGTGTTGCATGAGTGTGCAAATGTAAGTTAAAGTAGTGCAGTGTCACAAAGGGGGGTAAATCTGCTGGAGGGCAAGTGGTTAAAGTAAACTTACAGTATAGTGGATTGCTAAAAATAACTATTGTTTGTATTACTATATATGCTGATGTTACAAGATGAAAGTGTATTTTATGACCACACTGTGCTTTTTTTTTTTTTTTTTTTTTTTAAAGGCACAAAGGTAAATTTAAAGTACTACAGTCAGACTATAAACCAGTAGAACCATTAGTTAGGTACAGGGGTTAGACAAAAAAATTAAAACACTACATGATTTGCAATTGTGAAAGTGACAACATGTTTTACATTGACAGCAGAAGTAATGTAACATTCTTTTGCGTCTGCTGTGTGATGAGACACCTAGCTAACAAGTGGGAAGCCTCACTTTCGTCATTCACTGCATGCTCTGCAAGTAGTACGGAGTCATGTCAGAGATTACTGAGCTTCAAAGAGGGTAAACTGTTGGCACCTGCTTAGCTGGTGCCTCTGTGACTGAAGTTGCCAATTTATTTGCCATGTCGTGAGGTTTGGCATCAAAGGTTATGACAGCGTATACAGTTTCCGGGAAAACCGTCGTCTGATAAGCATAAGTGCGGTCGACATTGTCAAGCAACCGAAAGAGACAAAAGGACATTGCACAGGATTGTGACCCAGAATAAGAAAACTGCTGCAAAAGTGACTGCAGAGCTCAATCTCAGTCCTGTTAGCCAAGTGTCTCATCACACAGCAGAAGCAAAAGAATGTTACATCACTACTGCTTTCACCCCTATTGATGAATAGCTAGGCCCAGCTCCACCCACAGCCCTTTAGATTGATAATACATTGCTCTTAAAGAAACTATGTAAAAATAATAAAAAAAAAAAACCCAGCTCAGTAACTCCTAAAGCATGGTCTATCTGGGTATGTCTACCTCCCTAGCTGTGTTTGCTGTAAAAATAATATTTAGCATGTCAAATTGTATTGAAAATGTCTGTTTATTACCCTGAGAAGAAAAGACTGGAGGATTTAGATGGATAACTGATGGAAAAACATGCATCATACATACTAGGGGGGGGGGGGTAAAACTGGGGGAATCAATGGTGAAGGATCTGGGGGTTCTGGTAGATCACAAGCTTAATAATGGAATGCAATGCCAAGCTGCGGCTTCTAAAGCGAGCAAAATCCTCTCTTGTATTAAAAGAGGTATAGACTCCAGAGAGAGAGATATATTACCCCGGTACAAATCATTAGTAAGACCACCTCATCTGGAATATGCAGTTCAGTTTTGGGCACCAATTCACAAAAAGAACATTGGGGAACTGGAGAAAGTACAGAGAAGGGCAACCAAACTGATAAGAGGCATGGAGGAGCTCAGCTATGAGGAAAGATTAGAGGAACTGAATTTATTCTCTCTTGAGAAGAGGAGATTAAGGGGGGATATGATCAACATGTATAAATACATCAGTGGCTCATATAGTGAACTCGGTGTAGAGTTATTCACCCTGAGGTCATCACAGAGGACAAGGGGGCACTCTTTACGTCCGGAGGAAAAGAAATGTAATCTCCAAACACGGAAAGGTTTCTTCACAGTGAGAGCTGTGAAAATGTGGAATAGACTTCCTCAAGAGTTAGTTTGGATTGCTTTAAAAAGGCCTGGATTTTTTCCTAGATACACAGAATATAACTGGATACTAACATTTATAGGTAAAGTTGATCCAGGGAATATCCGATCGCCTCTCGGGAATCACTATGTAACATGAGTAGGGGCCAGTGCAACTTGAGAGCTGTGTAAAGAATAGAATACTGAACTCTAAAAGCAGACTTTTAAAGAAGATGTAAATAACTGGTCATTTCAACACACATTACCCAGGCACTGTCCACTGTTGTCAAAATAGGGAAGCCCAGCCTTAGAAATATCATGCAACAAAGGTGAAAAATATTTTAGTAGTAGTACATACAAGTAGAGGCAGAGTAGGTGCAGTAATTCAGCAGTACTTGGATTCTGTGATTGATACAATTGTTCACACTATTAAACATACTCCACATTGATGAGTGGACATATTCTGATGTATGAGATGTACAATCAAGTACATAACTGCTGGCGGGAGGTTTGGGGAATGGGTAGGGTGTATATGGGAGAGGAAAAAAAAAAAAAGTGGGGGGGGGGGGGTGCAGAAGTGGAAACAAGGTCTAGTACAAAAATGTGCCCAGTTCCAGTGGGAAATGTAGAATAAAAGACACTACAGCAGTATGAATCATGAAGAGGTACAGGTAAGATAGTATTGTTTAGAAAGCTGTTTAACGAGCCCATATCTTGCAACAAATAAATATTTTGAAGTAGTGCGTTAATTCTTCCAGTAGGCGAACCTGGTCTATTTTCTGAAAACAGAATTTTGTGGAGGAGATAGAAAATGGTTTCCAGAACAAAGGTATTAGGCTCCATGCATTGTTTTTTTTTAAAGCTCCTAGAAGCTATTCTGAGCATTTTTTTCTGCTCCTAGAAGCTAATTGTATTATCATCTGTGTCCATGCATTTTATGCTGGAAGTGTTTTTCAAGCTTCAGTGTTTAGGAGTAGAAAAACAGTTTTTGGGAGCTTTTTCCAATCAGAATAAAATGGTGAATGCTCCTAAAACACTACAAACACTGTTTTTGTTTTTTTTTTTTGTAACTAAAAATGCTAATGCGCCTAAACACTAATTAAACAATACTACTTCCTGGCATAAAATGCTATTAGCATTTTTTTGAGCTTATAAAAAAACCGCTAGTGTGATTGGTGTCTTAGGAATTTAGCTGCATTTATGTATATAAGGTGTAATAGATCATGTTTATCAG